TATTAAAAATTTATAATATTATAATAAAATATAATTTTTAAATTGATTGACCAGATACTTTTGATAGGGTAGTGTATATATATACATATAAAACTTTTATAATTAAAAGAGAAAAACATTTGAAAAAAAATAAAAAATAAGTTAATATTAAATTTAATCTAAAAATCATATTTGATATATAAAAGTAAAATTGATTATTTCAGATATTTTATTTTTTTCTATTACAAAATTTTTATATTATATATATAGATTTTATATATTATCATATTTTTCTGAAAATAAGCATCTCTTTTTTGCTATAGAGATGCTTATTTTCAGATATTAATAAAATTATTAAGACTTCAATCTAAAAATAAAGATCTCAAATTTTATGACTGTTAATTATCTTATTATGTAATATGTAGATCTATTATATATGTATACATAAAAATACAATGGTCTTTCTTCATTTATATAAAAATATCACAAAAAAAGATTATAATATAAATAAAAGGTTAAGCAACAAAAAATAAAAAAATATTGTTAAATAAAAGTGGATATCATACTCTCTCTTTCAAAAATAACAGGTTATTTAAACTTATTTTGAATTTGACAAATGTCTAAATTTTAGTTTTACTAATTTTTTATTAAAATTTTAATATAGTTTTGCATTTTTATAAAGCTTTAAAATACAATCAATTCTTGTTATAATAAGCTCTATATTCTAGACTTTAACTTTACTATAAGTTTATAGTGAAGATTTTAAGAGATTTAATTAGCTAATTTACTATAATAAAAGTATTTTATTATATTATTCAAAAAATTTGTTATATTAAAAGTTTACTATATTAAAAGTTAACTGTAGTTTAGCTTTTTTCAGAATTTTGCAGATTTTTTAATAAAATTTTACTAAATTTTATCTTTTACTATTTAGATAATTTATAAAATCTTTAGGTTTTGTTCAGAAAACTAAGTTTTTTAATGAAATTTTTTCTATTTTTTTATTTGTCTTATAAGAGTTTTTTCTTTCTTTAAAAAAATAGTCTCTTAAAATGAAAAGGAGTATTTATATGTCTTATTTCACAGATTTTTTTATAATATTCTAATAAATACTTTTAAGTATAATTAAAATTCTAAAAATATCAGAAGTTTTGTAATTATCCTTATAAGTTTAATGATCATTCTATATTTAAAATAGTTAATTTTTGCTATTTTATTATTTTTAAAAATACTTAAATTTTAAAGTTAAAAAATTTTTTTATTTTTTAAAAATATATCTTTAGTTATTTATAAAAAAAGCTCTTTAAATTTGGTTAGATATATAGTAAGAAATTCTAACTTTAAAAAGAATATACAGTAAAATTTTATTTATCGATCTTTGCCTGTCAGATATTTTTAATAGTAAATATATTTTTGAATTAAATTATTACAAGAATAAAATCAGTTGAAATTAATCTAAAATTAATTTTTTATGACTAATAAGTAGTATGTCAAAAGTTTTTAATACAATAAATAATAAAACTATTTAATTTTAAAAATTAAAAATAATAAAAATAATAACTATTATATTAAAATATTGTAACTGTTCTTTTTGGTAATTTTAATAATTAGAAAAAATTAAATAATTTATTTATTAATAGATATTTTTTTTAGTTATACTTTTATATATGATAAAATTAAAATTTATTATTAAATAAATGAAATATTATCTTTTTAAGAATTTCTTTTACTCTATCAAAATTGATTTAAAAATTAAAACTAATTTATCTTAATATTTTATATCTACTAACTATATAATTAAAATAGAAGTTTTTGTATATAATATTAGATATAAAATATGATATATTTCATATTTAAAAATAAATAATATTATTAATTAAAAAAAAGGCTTATATTAATAATACAAAATCTTCTATAGTCAATGTTAACATATTTTTACAGATATTTATTAATTAATACTTATGTTAAAATGATTAATTATTTTTATCTGCAAAAATATTTTTAATATTTAAACACATATAGATATTTCTGTTAATTTAATATATACTTAAAATTAGCCTTGTTTTTAAATAAGAATTAAAAATACATTTCTAGAAATACATCAATTGTTATATTTTTTTTAATAGAGTATCTGTTAAATTTAAACTTTTTTAAATAAATTATTACTAGTATTAGCAATTTGACCAATTAGACTTAGTAAAACTATGTCATAATTTGAATTAGACATATGAATTTTATATGTCTAATTGTTAATTTAAGCAATTGAAATTATAAAATTGCCAATACTGATTGTTACTATATTTTTATAAAATAATAATATCTCTTAGAAAATTAATAAAGTATATAATAATATAAAATAAATTTATTGTATTTCATTCATAATTTGCAGTTTTATTTTGTATTATAAATTTTTAATATAAAAACAAGAAAAATTACATTTATCAGTCATTTGTAAAAAAATAATCATATATATATGTGACTAAGATAGATAATATATATATTAATTAAAATATAATAATTGATAATTGATCATTTTCTACAAGTGATATAAATCAAGTGAGTCAAATCAGTCTATATGTTTTTTTTTTTTTTAAGTTTTTAGAAAATTTACCTATAAGATAATTTAAGGAAATATAATAAATTTTATAATATTTTTATTTGTTTTAATTTTTAATTATTAGATAATATAATTTAATCTCTGATTTTATAAAAAATATAATAATAGTAGTTTTAACAAATTTGACTTTATAAAACTGATAAATAATAACTTTGTATAAAATTTTAATATGTATAATTATAAAATTTCAATTATCAAATATGCTTATTTATTAATATTATCTTATTGAAAATAATACTATTTTAAGAATTAAAAATTTAGCTAAGCTAAAAACCATATTTTGGCTTGGATCGACAATTGGTATGACCGCATAATTTAACGTTTTTTTTTTTTTTTAAAAAAAACATGATCGTTCTCCGATTAAATAAAAAATGGTTTTAGCAAATGAACTCAAAGCATGGCAAAAACTTCAAAGTCATTACGACAATGAAGACAAAAACATTATTTTAAAAGACCTTTTCGCCCAAGATACAAACCGGTTCAGTACTTTTTCTCGTCAATTTAAGAGTGAACGCACTAGTGCTTCAATTTTGCTCGATTTTTCGAAAAATATTATCACAAATGATACATTCGCTGCCCTAATCGAATTAGCACGTGAAGCTGATGTTGAAGGTTTCAGAGAAAAATTGTTCAATGGTGAACATATCAATTTCACTGAAGATCGGGCTGTATTACATGTCGCCTTGAGAAATGTTTCAAACACTCCAATTCTTGATAATGGTGAAAATGTTATGCCGGGTGTTAATGAGGTTTTGGAGCAAATGAAAAGAACCTCCAATGCGATTCGAGATGGTTCGTGGACCGGTTACACCGGAAAACCTATCGTCGATATTGTAAATATTGGAATTGGTGGATCTGATCTTGGTCCCGTGATGGTTACTGAAGCTTTAAAACCATACGCGAAACCAGGATTGAATGTGCATTATGTTTCGAATATCGATGGAACACATTTAGCAGAAACTTTAAAGAAATTGGATCCAGAGACTTCCTTGTTCATTATTGCTTCTAAGACTTTTACAACACAAGAAACTATTACCAACGCTACATCAGCAAGAGATTGGTTCCTTGCTAAAGCTAAAGATGTAATTTAAATTTTGTATTTATCTTGCTATAAAATATGAATAAGTAAATTTACATTCTATATTCGATCATTTTCTTTAGAATAAACATGTCGCAAAACATTTCGTTGCACTTTCAACAAACACTAGCGCAGTTACATCTTTCGGAATTGATCCTGCAAATATGTTCAAATTCTGGGATTGGGTTGGTGGACGTTATTCTTTGTGGTCAGGTATGAACTAAATTAATTATATGTCGTTTTAATGAAAAAAAATAAAATAAAATAAAATTAATTCGAATAATAATTTGATATGAATTAATTAACTTATTACTAAAGCTATCGGTCTTTCCATTGCCATATACCTTGGCTTTGATAATTTTTACGAACTTCTTTCTGGCGCACACGATATGGACCTTCATTTCAGAAACTCTCCATTGGAGCAAAATTTGCCTGTGATTTTAGGAGTTCTTGGTATTTGGTATAATAACTTCTTTGGATGTCAAACACATGCTATTTTACCATACGATCAATACCTTCATCGTTTCCCTGCTTATTTCCAACAGGTCTGCTTAACGCAACTATAATAAAGAATTTCAACTTTTTTTTATTAATAATTTCTTTTGTCAATTTCTTTAGGGTGATATGGAATCCAATGGAAAATATGTCTCTCGTACAGGAAAAGTTGTTGATTATTCAACAGGTCCTATTATTTGGGGTGAACCAGGAACAAATGGACAACATGCATTTTATCAATTAATACATCAAGGCACAAAAATAATTCCTGCAGACTTTTTGGCGCCAGTTGAAACGCATAATCCTATATCAAATGGTCTGCATCACAAAATCTTACTTTCAAATTTCTTTGCTCAAACTGAAGCTCTTATGATTGGTAAGACCAAAGAGCAAGTCCTAGAGGAATTAGGAAATGTATCCAACAAAGAATTGATAGCTTCACATAAAGTTTTTCGTGGCAATCGACCAACAAATAGTATTATGTTTCAAAAACTAACACCTGGTACCTTGGGTGCCCTCATTGCTCTTTACGAACATAAAATTTTTGTTCAAGGTATCATTTGGAACATTAACTCATTTGATCAATGGGGTATGTCAATATTTTCTACAAATAAACAAAGGTATTTTTCTTGTAATTATACAAGTATTAAATTTTTTTTTTTTTTGGTTATTTGAAATAATATTTAGGTGTGGAACTTGGTAAAGTTCTTGCCAAGAAAATTTTGCCAGAATTAACAAGTCAAGATGCAGCACCCATTTCTTCTCATGATTCCAGTACTAATGGCTTGATTAATTTCTACAAAGCCAATATCAAGAATTAAGACGCGT